TGCTCGTCAGGCGAGCTTTTTTGCTAGCCAGCACTCCGATGCAGAAACTTATACTTAAGTCGGGCTCGCGCGTTCGATCTCATGCAAATTAGATCCGGCGCGAATCGCATTCTGGCCGAGCATCGGCTCGATCCCTGCCGAGCGTGACGCGGGCAAGCGAGCGAGCGATTTCGCCGATCGAAGATCCGTACACGGTTTGAGCCAATAAAATTTTCACGCCGCGGCCGCCATTGCTATGTCGGCTTATCGCGAGAAGAACGTTCCAATCGGATATTTATTATCGCACCGTATTCGGCGCCAATATCAAACTGCGATTCGTTCGGCCGTGTCTCATTGACGCCTTCAACCCCGTAGTTGCACGTGACTGAGATTATAGGGTTTGCCACCCCTACGAGTCAATGAATCTGTCTTCTACTTTTCTCCCTCTCTGAAAGATTATTTAAATTTGCCACGCGTAGCCGAAGATTTTCGCCTTTTCCCTCGCGAAATTATCCGTCAGACGAATGCTTTGTTTCGAAGATCGACGCGCTACGTGATTCTAATTTCTGATCAACGATAAATATACACCTCCAAATGATTGCTCCAGTTAAGTCTTATTATAGTTCGTACAACAGCTGAATGGTGCAAATTTGAGAAAGCATTGTATATAAATTACGTATTATCTTCCATATGTTATAAATGGATTTCCTCAATGAATTGAGAAGAAAACAATTCTAATATATATGGTCACAGAGGTTGGAATCGTTGACATTTTAATGCGGGAAAAAATCGAGCAAGATAACAGCTATGTGCAGTCCTAATTGTCCATTCGGCGAATTAAAAAGCGGGAGAGACGAATGATTCATTCTTCCCTCAATTAAAGCTACCAATCATAGGCTAGACGAATGCTGAACGTCATTATGTCCCGATCGTGATGCTGTGCTGGTATACGAGAGTTGTTAAATAGCACGGATTTAATATTTTCTTTGACTAGAAAATGTAAATTATATTTCTAATAATTTATCTTAGCGTTAGCAATAAGCATAAACGACAATATTTCACTTGCGGTTCAGTCTTGGCTATAGCTGCAGCTGTAAAGTAACCACAAGCCTCGGAAAAAAAGTCATTTTTATCTTCATATTATTGACCTATTTTAATATTTATCAATAGAATTTTAATAACTATTATTTTTCTTTACCACTAATGCGCGATAATTCTTTAATTATTAGCATCTATCGATAGAAATTTTATTATTCTCTCGTACTTTAAGAAAATAAATATCCGTAATTGTGCAACGTGCAGAACGTATTTTTACGTAACGAAAAATACGCCGTAGAAAACGTTTGTTCTAAAAATAATAACATTTTTACATAACCATCCCACAGTTATCAAGTTGCAAGAAGAGTTCTGCAAGCGATTTTACAAAATCGCGGATACATCTTTCCAAATCCAGCATTCGCATCGGACGACGTTGAAACTCTCGTCTTTCGCACAGACCGACAACGCGAAAGGATCTTTAATTCCCGCTGTCCAGCGCCCATTTACTTTGCGGTCAGCACTTGCAATTGCAACGGGCCGCGCAAGTGAGTCCCTGATGCGTCCTGCGGTCGAACGTCATCACCGTAGCTCACGCGCCCTGACGCAGGATGCACCTACCCTGCGGGACCTTCTAATATTCGAAATTGCTCGTCCTGGCATGTTTATTTGACGTCGGAGCTGCCGTAGAGAGTCGCCCGCCCCTGCCCCATCCCCCTTTCCCACCCCTCTTCCAATTTGCCGGCTGACATTTCTCAACTCCTTCCGCCGCGCGCGCGTCGCGGTGTCCCTTTTTTTTTCTCTTCCTATGTATCCGTCCTCCTCGGCCTCCGCTTCGTCCCCCCTTTCCGCCGCCGTCGCGACGACGACGGCTTTCGTCGTCGGCTGAAGTGCCAACTGGAAAAACGCGATAACGCTGCCGAACGAGCGAAACTGTATATCGAAGCTGGCGCATCCAGCATCATATCGTCAATTGTATCGCAACTGCATCGTGTTCGCGACGCGCCTGATTCGCGCGCATGTGTATCAAAGATATTTTACTTAAATTATAGATCGAGAATGATTGATTTAGAATATCAGTTTTATGCTCGAAAATCGTATAGAATTCATAAATATCAATATCACTTCTAATTCTTTCTTATATTAATTACTACATTTTTGCCAAAAATTTTTCATTTCACCAATTATTATTTATGCAAATCCCAATAAATATTTTTCCAGAAAGATCCTAAAACATTGATCTATTTGCCATAAGTAACTCATAAGATATATGTTATACAAAGTCGGATGGTTGCCCAAGTTTGTGATACGAAATAAGCTGCGCTCTATCCGCCTGCTAATTACTTGATTATCGTAAATGATTATTTATGAGAAAAAACTATACACCGTTAGGTGATACTGCGGAAACGCATCCGCATGCTGTTTAACAAAGAGTGCAAACTATGTATGCTCGTCTCTTTTTTAATTCACGAACGGCAGTAAAAAAATAATTGCTTGTCGACTCGCATCTTAAGCAGCGCCGACGCGGTTACGACGGTTTTTCAAGTTTTACGTTAAAATGTAGGATACAGTCGGACGTAGGACAATGCACTTACGTCGTGCGGAACGACAACCGCGGCCGCAAAGCGCTCGTAACACGGCGCATCCTTGCATTATGCATAGCGCGAACAACGGCGCGCGGCGCATCAATCTAAGACACGTCCGCCGGCGATAAATCGGATGATATATACAGAGAGGTGCAATGTTACGCGGCGTGATATTGTCGAATAGGTAATTACCAGAAAGTGCGTTTTATAAAACCACTAGCGTCAGCCCGCTAATTATAGGCTCCCGCTTTGAGCGCTGCCCGCTGTTCTCATGCAGATGAACCGGCTTCTAGGAATCGATGTGAAAGCGAACGTTATATTATACGACGCCGACCGTTTTATCAACGAAATATATCACCACAATTAATAGCAACATTTTACGTCCTCATGTATACACAATAATTAAGCACGGATGAATTATCGATTGATAGTTTTGCGTCAATTAAAAAAATAATCTACAAATACGCGACATTTATCATCATATCATTGTTAAAAATAGGTTTTCTTTTTATTTAAATAATATACTCTTTAGAAATTTAAATTTTGTATTAAATTTATATCTTTAGAAAAATATTAGTCGTGTGTTAAAACTTGCAAAATCTTATGAAGATAAATTGGAATAGATAAAAATTTTATCAAACAAAATTTGATTTTAAATTCGGCAAAGAATATTTAGTTCAAGAAATATGACACTACTTAAGAACGTACTTAAGAATACAAATGTTTATTACATATTTGCCGTTTTAATTTCGTGACGCCTGTTTCCGTAACGCGAACATTCGTCGATTAAACGGACCGCGTGTGAACGACACCTTGCGTAATACATTTTTAATTCCGGCGAGCGCATTGAGCCTTGCTCGATATCACTGACGGATCTGTGACCGGATATCACATAGGCGCATCTCGGTCGTTAAGCCCCGCGCTTTTTGCGAGATACCAACCGATCCCTATCACTACAAATGAGCGCCATTTGCTCGCACCCTGACGGCATGGAGAGACGAATATACGCCCGAATCGGTCGTGCAAGCGAGACTTCAGCCGCACGGTTTACGTTCGCTATAGTGTTCGTATCGACGACAAGATCCTCGTAATTTACGAAAGTGCTTGAGTTGCGAGAAGTTTCCCGTAAAGTTTGCGAGAGATTCGACTTCATTTGTATATAAATCGTTTGACTACATTAATTACGTGACAATGTCGCTTTACACTTGGGTGTCCCAAAACGTACTTTCACCTTAGTATAGATTTTTTGTCAAACTCATAGCTATTTCTTAGAAAATTTGATATAACCTTTTTATAAATTTTCTAATTATTTTTTATGTTATGTCTAACACATAACATTTTAATTAAATTTAAATTAAAATAAATCCATTTAATCCACTTAAAATCCACTTAAGTTGACTTAAATTTTATTTGTTGAAACTGTTTTCTATGGAGCTTCTCCATAGAAAACAATTAATATTATAAATAATATTAAATACCAAATAATATTAAAAAAATATAAGATTTGTAGATATATTTTAAGATATTCTACTTTGTATCATATATATTATATCATATATATAATATATTGCAAATAATTATATTTGTCACGTTTTTATCGCATTATACTAACACAAATTTCTATAAGAAATGTCCTAAAAACTATTTTTAAAGAGCTTATAAGGAGTCATCGATGCTTGAGATCGGATGTTCGACTTACATTGGCAAGCAGCAAGGGTCTGCCAATTTGCGCTTATTAATTCGAATTATCGCTGCTAAGTGGGTGTCCAGCAGAGGATATTAAAACCTCTGACCTTTAGCAGGATGAATTATGCCGAAGTCTGTCAGTTACGATTCTCTCTCGTAACTTTACGCTCCGTAAAAGTGCCCAAAGATTTAACATTCAATTAACATTCAATAAAATCGATCTCATAAATCAGTATACGCTTAAAATATATCTTACATTGATATTTTTATATTTCTTCTTCTATATATTTTATCTTTTAATTAAAGTACAATCAAATTGAGAAGTATATTTATATCTTATAAGTATTTTTGTGTTTCTCATATTTTTTAATTGTAAGAGAATAAATATAAAAAAGAAGCTACAATTCTTTACCAAATCGATCTTATTCTAAAAGAGAAAGCGAGGGAAATTATTTGATTATTTGTTGCTTTATTACGAGACAATTTTAAATAATAATATTTATTGCATAAATTTCAAGTAAAGGAATAGCATCTTTCAGGCTAAAACTAAATTATGTGTAAAAAATATTCGCAATGTGCAATTTAATGCTACTCTTATTCAAAATAAATTGTTGATTTAAAACTGATCTAAAAAAAAAAACATTTAAAATTTCCCTCACTTCTCTACCTTACGAATTGCCTTTTTCGTGACTTGATAAAGTGGAACAGACTTACCAATGACGAGCTGTGATCGTTGTTGAAACTGTAAGCTGATGAATCATCTATTCGTCCATCGATGATTCCAGAATTAGGACGCAAGCAGAAATGAGCAATATCGGAGCCATGGATGCGTTCGAATAGTTGTGACGTCGCTTGTCGAAGCTAGATGATGCACAATTCACTAAAAACCGAACGATACACCGAATTTACGACATGAATTTACTACGAGCTCAATTTGTTCAGTCTCCACGAAATCTGTTCGACGAACACTTACATACGATACTTCTGACAAACCGCGACGAATTTTTGACGAACGAAATAACGGATAAAACTTGTCGAACAATGGTCACAACATAACAACACGAAATTGTCACACAAAATCGATCCAAGGCCTGACTGTTTTTCGACTATCGAAATTCCGTTGCAAGTTCAAAGCAATAATATGGCGCGTCGACAATAATATGTAATATGCTACTTTTGCTGGCTCATTCGACGTAATGTTTGTTAAATAATTTGTTAAATAGAGTTTGTTAAATATATATATATAGAATACAGTAGAGATAATAACACCGGCATCCTAACCTAACCTAACCCGATCTACCGCGATAGATTCCGCCGAATTAGCAAGATAAAATCATTACAAACGAACGTGCACGATTTCCGCAGAACTTGTTTGATAAATATTTACATATGATATTTACGACAAGCCGCAAGTCGCGCAAAATTTAACGAATTTTTGAACAATAATCCAGCGAGTACACTTGACGACTGTAGCGATGCAACGGAGAGAAGTTATCACAGAGAGTATAGGATCGATCCGCGGCCGTATTGTTTCGATTTTTGACCGCAATCTAGAGCGGTGATAAATGTGGCGCATCGATAATGATACATTACGCCATCTGTGTTTTTTTATCTAACATAAACTTATTAAATAACGATAGTGTGTTATAGATAATAACATCTATGTGTATTACGTAAATCAATGGTGTCGCTAACTGAATAAATTCAAACAAAAATTGGCAATTGTAGGTTAATAGAAATATTTCGTTCATAAATAAATAGAAAACAAACAATATGCGATTTATATTACTACGTTGCACATATGTATCAATGCAAATACGGACATCCAATCTCAAAAATCTGGCGCTTTTTAGGGATTATTCAAAATTAACTCGTAAAATATTATAAAAATCACGGAAAAAGAGTTAAATAAACAGATTTATAAATTTTATTATGCAAATTTTGTATAAGTTGTTATTTCTATAAACTCTGTTCTAATGTAAAAAATGTGAACACTTATCGCCAATACTGTTTCTGTCTAATAAATTAAGTATATATTTCTGTTATGTTTACCTTTTTTTTACTCTTTCAAAGATTATACAGTCGAAATGAAACTTACCTCACAGTGAATTGTGATTATTGTCAGAGTCTATGAGCCGATATGTCAACCATTCACCCATCGATCACTTTAGGATTAGCATAGGAAGAAGCAGGCAGCATCGGAGCAGTGAATACGTTTAAACAATCGTGATATCACTGACCGAAATAGGACGATACTCTGATGTTTCACTTGCGAACGAATTAACCTAATTAGCAATGCAAAATTATTACAAACTTGATGCGCTCTATTTTCGCAAAATTTATTCAACGAATACTTACGTGTGATAATTCTGGCAAGCTTGGAATCATACAAAATTTAACAAATTTTTGATGAGTCAAATAGTGACTCGTCAACTTTGTCGCGATGCAACGACGCGAAATTGTTACTAGGAATGTGAAATTGATCCATGGCTGCACTGTTCCATTTTTCGGTTAGATTCTATTGCGAGGTTAGTACAATCAATAATATGTCTTATTTTTTGTTTTTTTACGCAACGTTTTTTTACATGATTTTGTTAGCGTTCAAATGTAGAATAGATAAAAACATTTATATTTTCACCAAATCACCATATACTATCGTTGATTGGAGAGATAAAACCAAGAACCGAGACAGTTTGAGAATAAGAAAGGTAATACATTTACAATAGAAAATATAATAGATGAATGATTCATGAATTACCGTTATGTCGCGAGGGTTCGCCCAAACAGATCGTCGAATTAGCGATACAAAATTACAGTGAGCTTTGCACACTTCCTAATCCTCCTGAAATTCGTTCGATAAGCACTTCCGTGCGAATATTTCCATCGTGAATTGCTTGTTTTTTTTTCACGAGCGAAATGACAACACAGATTGCCAATTGTTATGCGATTTTGTGATTAGAAACGCGGAATAGAACCGTGGCCAGTGATACTAAAATGCGGATCTCTGATTGGTGCGTGCAAGCCGCGTCTGCATTCTGAAATCACTGATGGTGGCCAGACTGTTTCAACTTTCCGAACGGCTTGTTGCAAGTTGAGAGGATCTTCGTTTTTCTCATCAAATATACAAGGTAATTTTATTAAGTAGCAATAGATTACAGTAATATACAACGAGATATACTTTTAGATCGAACATTCATATGCTTCACTGATCATCCACTGCATCGTACGAGTCAAAACTTCATCCCGAAGGTGAACAGAAATTTTAAGGTTAACAGAGGTAATTGTTTGGACTGGAATAGAATAAAAAAATAGAAACAATAATATATATGTAGGATTTATACCAAAGGACATATTGTATACGCTTAATACTAAAATAAGACTATTTTTTTCTCTTATATAAATATTGATCACAAGTATTTTGTTTTCTGTTAGGGTTTGCTCTGAATTTCAAAAATCGTGCATGAAACGCCATCTTCTGTATGACAAATGAAACGACGTGAGTTTCTCCAGCACCGCTGTTACCGACGTTGCGGACACGGCCGGAAGCTCATAAAGGTATACATCGCTGCTGCGATGATAATAATAATAATGACAACGACGAGACGAATGCGGAACGCGTAGCAATCTCCGCCCCAGGAACGCCCTCGAGGAGGCTATTGGCCCGATATCCCTTGCTCGGGAAAAGGCTGCCATGGCCGGCGCGACCAGGCGAACGCGCCAATCGGAGCGCACCCCCGGCAAAACAAAAGGTACGCATCACCACTCACCCTCACTCTATCTCTCTTTCTCTCTGCGAGAACGGGTTCTCGTGAGACCGAACAAATGAATGCCACGCGGGGAGTGAGCTCCCAGGAGTGTCGCTCACCCGGCAAGGAGGATCGCTCGGGAACCCCGCGACAGCGGGGAGGGAGGGTTTCTGAGTTTTTGATGTATTAAAACGCGGGCTCTACGTGACACCGAATGCTAAGTAGACTTTCACACCGCACGATGGTGAGGAGTGGCCGCTCTCTTTCTCTCTTCTACCGCCGACCGGCTCTCATTCGCGTGTCTTTCTCCATCCGTCACTTTATTATTATTATTATCATCGTCATCATCACCCTCCTCGCAAGCGGTAGCCGTTATTATCGCGCCGTCGCGTTCGATAAATTAGACAGCCCACTTGAGCGTGACCCAAGCGCCGCAACTGATCGTGGCCGGCGATAAGATTTCGATCTGCTTAAACGTACCCGTCCATAGCTAGTACGCTTCATGCCTCGTCGAGATATCGCCAGCACCTAGGGAGTCCCGCTCGATCAACTGCCGAAAGTCGTCTTCAAGATTGCGTGAGTATCGCGCGCGCACGCAAATTGGCGTCGACGTTGTCTCACGTCTGCTGTTGATCGCGTGAGTATGTGTATATTAATAGACCCGCTTATCTTGCTAATGTAATTACGTTTTCTGCGGTGCAGCTTGTTATATATTAAGCACAAACATCTTTCTACTATAATATATTGAAAATGTTCTATCGTATAATAATTTAAAAAATTGCAATATCTGACCGAATATATCGCATCCAAATTTCATACAATTTTTAAATTTTCTAAACGAAATATTCAAAAAAGTCTAAAAATTAAGCCATGATTTCTCGTTAGCATATTTACACTTGTCTAGAAGCTTGAATATTTATTTCAATAGTTGTTTATTCTATAGTTACGATAAAAAAAGGCAAGCAATTTTCTATTTAAATTGTTTTGTATAAAGTGAACGTGAAAAATATCGTCGACACCTAAAAACATTCTTACGCAGTCGATGGATATCTTATTCGGTTGAATTCAACTTACCGGAACTGGCATTTTTCCATAGTCAGCACTGCTGTTTGTTTGTAGTCTTATTTAGGCGATAATCGCTCTTTTCCTCGAGACCTATAATTTGCGGCTCGATTGGGCGCCGGCGCGAGTCAATTAGGACAGACTTTAGGAACCAAAATGATGAAATGGAGCGACGGCTGCAGCCTTCTGCCATTTCTCCTCGGTCCTCATTTTTGAACGTTTCAAAAACGTCTCGTCACGTCCTGTCTGCATTCTTTCATTTTCCGATTTCTTTTCAGTTGCCATGCAAAAAAAGCATCTATTTCGACATAATATATGATTCAAATACTACCTCTCGATAAATTTTTTATGTTTGCTGCGTTTTTTTAATTTTCATAAATTACAGTTATCGATTTATATTTTTAATGAATAAATAACTCTCATAAGTTTGTTTATGAAGACAATCTGTTTACGGAGAACTCGCATTTTATTCATTCGAACAACTGAGAGCAAAATCAGCATAATATAATAAATAGCAAATTTTATTTTATTACAATTTATTACAATTAATTAGTACAGCTTAAGTAGGCACGTGTAATCATTTTATTATAACGATAGCAATTATGTAATGTGGTTAGAGTTGCTATTTACAGTTACGTATATTTAGTTGTATCATCATCAATTATTATCACACGATCAAATATTATGTCAAACATATTCATAATTGTAATATGATTCAGAGAAGAATCAGTTTTACGAAAAGAATACGCATTTCACGGTTACAAAAATACCACAGATTTATCTTGATACTTTGGCATTTGTAAATAGCATAGAATAAGGATAAATCTGTACTTTACCTGAGCAAACCTAAATAAACATGTATTCTCATTCATAAAATCAAAAAAATTCAAAGAATTAAAAATCTCCAGAGACAGGGATCTCTAACAGATTTAGTTCACAAAGAACATATTTTCGTAGGGCTTTCTTTCATGATCGGTATTATTCTTGACGTTTAACACATTTCTAGACATGTCCAGAGCTAATCTCCATAAGATTAATATACCTATATCACACAAATAATTATTTAAACTATCAACATTATCCAGAAAAAATTCTCATACGTTTATTATAAAAAAATATTCTGATATTTATGAAGAAATCACCGCGACGTTTCTCACGCACGCGAAATCCACATGCAGAACAGCTGGGTCGTAGCCGTCCGGCAAACGCGACGAAATAAACGTGCCCGTAAGGACGCGGGGTGCGAAAATCAATTTGATAGACGAGCGTACGCGTGCCGAATTACCTCTACGTGATGTCGGGCCGTTTCGCCATTTTCGCCATTACATTAACGACGAGACGCGTCGCGCCGCACCGGCTCGACTTCCCGCGCCGTCCCGCAATGGTTACAGCCGTAATGCTACCGTTGGCGAACAATGGGTAACATCGCGATCCCAGGCACGTCTCGATTCCGCGGCCCAGGCGAGATCCGGGAGGCGTTAATTAAGGTCCTGTGGAAAGGGAGCCATTTTCCGAATTTATACCTCGCGGAAGCTGCCCGGCGTTAACGAATGAAAATTCCAAAGTCCGGTAAAATTACCGTTTCGAGGACGCGAGCAGCAGAATGTGCGCAGAAATACGTGTCACATCCACTTTTAACTTAGAACTTGAAATAAGTTTAAAACAAATTAAACATTAAAGATGTTTCATCGAAATCTTAAGACTTAATTTTAAAAAGAGTTTATCATTATATGCTTTACTTTTGAATCCTATGAAAAAAAAATGAACATATTTTCGAATTTTTGTTTAATTGTCGAAGTTTTACGGACAAACATGCACGAGATATCGATAGCGCGAAAAAAAAACAATGATTAAAGACTAATACTATCGATTTTGCTGACGCGCCTAGCTGATTATTCGTTCAATTACGCAACCATGGTATTCAAGCTCCCTTCCCCCAGCTGGCTTACGTGCTCTCCTGGCTTCATTAAAAGTACGCACGGGGTTTTGGTCGGGTGGAAACGCCGATTAATCTTTTTTCGCGCTCGATATAATCCTCGACGGAGCGAGGCAGTAATCCGGCCCGCTGTCATCCGTCCGTGAGCCCTGGAACTCCATCCAACGGATGAGACGGATTACAGCTCGTAGCAAATTAACCTTTGTCTCCTCTCTCGCAGGACTCCGTCCTCCTCTCGCCTCCGCTCGCGACCGCCCCCGATGTCTCGGCTTTACACGAGAACTCACTCAACCGGGCGCGATAACGCGAACCTAGAGAACTGTTTGGTGACACAACACAACAGGTGTCCATAGAGCGTCCCGATACGGATCTACAGATCCTCCGGTTTTACCAGAGAACACGCCTGGTCAACTCCATTTGCGATGCGGCTGATCCTCTCGTTTCGCCACTTCGCTGCTGTAGATCGCTTTTGTACTTTTACGAAGACGGATTAGACACAAATCAACGTGTGTATGTGATAACAGGTCAATTATTGAGCGATCGGCTTTTAATGCTTCTTTATGACAATGTGAATGATATAGAGATGAAACAAGAATTCTGAAATGTTGATCAAATATCGCGAAGAAATAATACTTTTAGAATTACATTGAGACACTATACAAAAATTAAATAATTTCAAAGCAAAATATGAATAAATCATAAATATGTCAGTCTATCAAATTAATTTGCATATCATGTCTGACATTGTTAGATATTAAAGAAAATTATTTTCGCTAGTATATGAAAAACTAGATTTATTTGGAAACAATCGCAAATATAATACAAAATCAAATCACGCACAAATCTTTGTGCATTATAAAAATAATAAACGGGTTTTTGCACGAGCATTTCTTTATTCTTGCGTGATAAAATCAAGAACGAACCAAAAGAAAAATATGTCCGTCTGCCGATTGTCCTTTGCTTACAAAATGGCGTTTCCATCATCGAAGGGTGGTACGAGAGTGTACATTCCAACCCTCGCACCAACCCCCGAGCGATCCGAGGGGTGGCAAGCACGTAACGTTATGTAACCGTATACATGCCTAAGATCCTGGAGGGTTGGAAGGGAATCGGGCTTTGTCGCCTAGCCATGTGTCCCTAATGCGACTCCCGTGGGGGGTCATTTCTATTCTATTTCCCTTTCATGGGGTGTGTCGGAGCGGACGACCCTCCGCAGCTCTCTCTCCGCGCGCCGCCCTTATCGCTTATGGTAAACGCATCACGGAGATTCCCGTAAGGGTGCTCTCTGCAGATTGACGTAAAATCAATGAACGAAGTCAATGGGTCCCTCGTTCCGTTTACACGGGGTGCGTGGTAGTGTATTATACGAGTTGTAGCACCTCGTTCAGCCGTGGATAACGCGCCTGTTAATCACGTGCAGAAACAGCTTTCGAGTGGGCTCATAGAAATCACGAAGATTTCCGCATTGTTGTCCCGCATTTTACCGAATGCTAGAAAGCACACTGGCGGCCTTGATTAAGTAACTTTAACTGTCTCCTTTCTAGATCGCAATTTTGACGATAATTCAGAGAGAAAGAGAGAAAATTAAGCTAATGATAAATGGCGTGATTCATTTGGCTCAGAAGTCTGGAAAATAATTCGATAAGGAATGACAAAATCCACGCAATAGGATTGCGAGATCTAATTAGCTGTTGTCCTCGAACTTCTTATTTCGCCTTGGCGTTTCTTGAATTGTAGAAAAAAATCCATACGCAGCTCGTATCATTACAAAGTATTAGTATCTAAAATTGGATAAAGTTGAGAAATTAACATTTGCATACGCTCAGAAAAATTAAAGAAACGTTACGCATTATTGAAATCATTTTATTCGTCATAAAATTTTCTTCTCAAAAATCGGATGTTGATCGTTAATAAATTATATCGCACAGAAAATTTTTTACCATTCTAGTTTCTATTTAAGAACTTTGTTAAATCGATGTAATTGTTATCGCGAGCGCCGCGAAAA